AGAGAGAGAGAGAGAGAGAGAGAGAGAGAGAGAGAGAGAGAGAGAGAGAGAGCAGCGCACTTAGAAATGATCTGACACCCCTTGCTTGTTGTTCTGCTGCATTGTCGTCAACTTGTCGCCAGACGCGCCACCAAATTCAGGATGCCTAAAGCAGGTGCAGATGCGATCAAGCGCCACTTTGAGAATGTTGGAGTGCATGGGGAACCGGGGAAAGGGAACTGCATATGGAAATGCCTGTATTGCGAACTGCTGTTCCCTGGGAGCGCAAAGCACTGTTGGCAGGTGCAACATCAACAGGCTAGGCGGCAGGCTGTCGGCAGAGGAAAAGGAGAGGAGGAGTTGGGCCGGCTGGAGGCAATTGCGCTGGTGTTGGGAAAGGTTGTGCCTCGGGCACCGTCATATGATTGCCTTTCAGACCTCGAAGGCATGGAAGACGTGGACGCCAAGGATGAGTGCAGCAGCCCCCAACGAGCGGAAAACAGAGTCAAGACTGGCCTTTCGACGACAACCAATGTGCGGCAGAGCACGCTGGAAGAGGGCGGGGCAATAATCTCGAAGAATGAAGAAGCACAACGCTCCATAGATGATTGGTTGATTTACGAAAGAGTCCCGTTCAACATGGTGCGCAATAAGTATTCCTTGCGCATGCTGAATAAGGTTCGTGATGCAGAGCGGTCCTTCATCCCTGCAAAGTACGACGCGCAGCGGACGAAAAGGTTGGACATGTTACGGGATCGCGTCGAGGAGGGGGTTTTGCGGCAGCAAAGGAGCTGGCCTCGATCAGGATGCATGCTCCAGCTTGATGGCTGGACTGATCGGAGAGGCAAACCACACTTGAATGTAATGGTCTCCTTTCCAACCAGTGTGTTTTTTTGGAAGTCACACTACATGTCAGGCAAGGACAAGGGCGCAGCAGCGTACTTTGATATCTTGTCCGTGTCCATTCGCGAAGTTGATGAGAAAAGTGTTGTTGGAGTGATCATGCACAACGCTGCAGTGTGTGTGAGAGCTGGCAGATTGGTGGAGGATACATTCCCTACGATCTTCCATGTGCCATATGTTGCACACTGCCTTGACTTAGTGCTGCACGATGTTGGGAAGATGGAGTGGGTGGTTCGAACGGTGGGGAAGGCGAATGACTTGGTGAAGTTCATCAATAACCACCAACGAGTCAAGGATGTCTACATCCACTCGGGTGGGAGACAGCTACTTCGACCTGCAGCAACGCGTTTCGCCACCAACTTCCACATGTTGGACCGCTTGAAGAAGCAGCGAAAAGCGTTGGTGGCTATGGTCACAACAAACGAGAGGTGGACAGCGACGTTGGTTCCCCATGCACAGCGATCGACCTTCCACGAGATGGAAAATGTCTTGCTTGATGCAGCAGGGTTTTGGGAAAATGTCAACAAGGCAATCAATGCCGTATACGACATTGTTTTGTTGTTAAAAGTGGTGGATGGCAACGGTCCAACCATCAACAAGGTTTATGCGAAGATGGACAGGATAGTGGAACACCTGCGAGTCAACAAGGACCTGACGGCAGAGGACCGGGAGGAGATCGAGGTGATGGTCATGCGCAGATGGAATGCTATGACCACCCCCCTCCACTGTGCAGCCCTATTCTTGGATCCGGAGTACCGAACGTCTGAGCCGCACAACGATCCAGAGATCCAAGATGGATTCTACACTTGGGTGTATACATGGCTGAAAGGGTCGCCGCAGGAGGTGTGAGACCAGGTGGAGTACAAAGTGGATTGTTGGGTTCAAAACATTGGGAAGTTCAGCTCGCAAGCGGCCATGGATGCAGCCCGTAAGCAAAACCTTGCAGCATGGTGGAAGCGCTGGTGCAATGAGCTGCAACACTTGCAGCCCCATGCCATTCGGCTGTTGGGGCAAGGGTCGTCGGCTTCAGGTTGCGAAAGGAATTGGAGCCTTTTTGCAGCAATTCACTCCAAAGAGCGGAATGCCTTGGCCCCGGAGACAATGCACAAATTGTTGTACACCAAGTGGAATATGCGCCTGCTTGACTCGCTGCAGCAGATGCCGGAGAGGGCAAAAGACCTTGTTGAATGGGATGACCCACCGACGGAGGAGGAGCAAAAGGAGGCTAAAGAAAGAATGAAGTTGGTTGAGCGCAGATTGAAGAGCCTTACCTCGGCTGGTGACGACGTTGTTCCACCTGTTGATGGCGGGGGTGACGAAGATGGGGATGAAGCTGCTGTTCCGTGCCGTGAAGAATGCAACCTCGAGGAGATTGAGGAGGGTCATAGCGGGGACTGGCGTGGATTGACAAAGGCAGGCAACTTCCTCGTCAAGCGTTCCCAAACTGAAGTGCGAAGGAGGGCACGCACCTTGGGAACAGAGGAGCACAAGCGTGTTCACAGAAAGGGGGGTGGTGACACACTGCCTCATGGTACTGCGACGACAGCACAACAGAAGGAGACAGGGACATCGTCGGCACAACCTGATCCTCCACGCCAAAAAAAAGGTAGAGGCAGGCCAAGAAAAACGCCAGTGACGGATGTGGAGGATTCAGATGTCGTGACTGCGGAGGGAGAGAACAACCCTGCGCAGACACTCGAGGAAAACCCTGCGCAAACACTTAAAAAAAACGGAGGAGAGGGGAGCAAGGATGTGGGGGGCAAGGACGAGGGTGTGGCAAGGAAGAAGCCACGTGATGATGAAGAGGAATGTTCATCGGACTACTCATCAGGCGATGATGAGCGGCCATTGGCTGAGAAAAAAAGGAAGGGGACATAGAGAGAGAGAGAGAGAGAGAGAGAGAGAGAGAAAGAGAGAGAGAGACTGCCGGTTTTGGGGCAGTCATTCATGATTTGTCAATCATGATTCATGAATGACTCTGCATTGTCTACAATGATAGTACAATCACTTACCACACTTACTGGACAACGGCGGTCTAGAAGGCTAAAAGCCCATTGGCAGATGACTATATAATCTGTTGATATTCAGTTAGTATTTATTCAGTTCTGAGTCCTCCTCCTCATTCTTTCTCTTGACCCTCTTCTGATTCTTCTGAGTCATAAACACAGTTCAAGTTGTACAACTTGTGCTACTAACTTGCGCATTTCAATTTTCAACCATTTCTGATTCTGTGTGCAGTGTGCACGCTGGCTGGCAGTGACAGCACAGTGCCCATTGCTCGTTGAGGTAATGTATGAACGTACCATGTTCTGTTGTTGTTGTTGTTGTTGTTGTTGTTGTTGTTGTTTTTCCGCCGAAAAATATATCAATCCGGATGGACATCCGGAATGTGGATCCGGAACATTCCGGGACCTCTGGAACATTCCGGAGTTCCGGGACCGACCGAAAGGTCCAGGATCCGGGGCCCGGAATCGTTCGGGGGTCCGGTCCGGCGTAGCTATGATTGGTACCATAAAGTTCACTACATTGACCATAGTAAACTCGAGTTAGTCATTACGGGGTCTATGAAGGCGCTCGCGTTCATTGAATTGCTTTCTTTTCTACATACAACGATAAGGACGATTGGTTCCGTTGCTAACTAAATATACACCAAATTCTCCTTTGGGTGCTTCTTGACTTGCATAAATTGAAACTCAATCGAAGAGTGGAGACAATCACACGGTGGTTTAAGTATGGATTCCAATGCACTTCGACGAATAATCATAAACTTACATGATATTGTCATATTAAACTTAAATTCAAGTGAGTACCATGGACTCCGTCTCACTTCAAGAAACATCGTAATCGTGAAAAATTAAAAGTTTAAAATTGTATGCATACGGTAAACAAGATGGTTTAAGTATGCATTCCAACGCACTTCGACAAATAATCATAAACTGACATGACATTGTCATATTAAACTTAAATTCAAGTGAGAACCATGGACTCCGTCTCACTTCAAGAAACATCGTGATCGCCAAAAATTAAAAGTTGAAAATTGTATGCATACGGTAAACAAGATGGTTTAAGTATGGATTCCAACTCACTTCAACAAATAATCATAAACCGACACGACATTGTCATATTAAACTTAAATTCAAGTGAGTACCATGGACTCCGTCTCACTTAAAGAAACATCGTAATCATGACAAATCAAAAGTTGAAAATTGTGTGCACACGTGCAAAAAATCGTAATCTAAAAGTTGAAAATTGTATGCGCATGTGCAAGAAACTTTAATGCAAGATTGAACTATGTCTAAATTAAATGCTACGATTCAACTCAAGATTGAACTACATCTAAAATATATGCTACAAAAATATCGTAATCTAAACTTTCTAAAACGCTATCATTTACAAATTTAAAGTTTCTACTAGCGTCCCCGCGTCCCATGAGAAGCAAACTCGTATAAGGCATTCATTGATGACCCGAATGCAAAAGTTTGTGGTTGTCCCTTCGTTGCCACATTCGAGAAGACAGAAATGTATTTCATCCTTACAAACCTACCGACACCTGTCAAGAACTGACCGATGGCACCACATACACAAAATGCCACTTTCTCTACCTAATGCCACTTATGAACCTCATCAATTTGACTGACAATCTCTAAATCTGATTTTTCATTGTCGTAGAAAAGACGCAGATTCCCCATGTTGCGACCATAGATTCTAAGCTCATTACAAGAAACTAGCACTACATCGTCTACCAAAGTCCACTTTCGGTTTTAACATGCCACACAGAATACTCTACAGAAGTCGGAATCTGCCAAAGACAACCGTATGCAACAGTACGACACATCCTTTGGTTGTATTCCGGCAGCACGCTGTGGATATGCTTCGTAAAACGGATTGTAGGATGCACAGTCCAACAACTCTTGTTTCAAGTCCGCAGACCACACGCGAGGTGACCTCGTGACGTTGTCAAGGCGAAGGTAAAACCGCTTATTCTCTTTCTGTCTGAGTGTGGCGCACAGGGACGGAACTTGTCTGACACCAATGGCATAATGAGGTACTTTGATTAGGCTCCCCCACTCCATCACGGAAGCAAACTTGTACTCCCTATTCCATGAACATTTCCTCGTGAAGATCGATCTATCCCATTCTGCCTTGGACCACGCATCGAGAAGCTTGTCCAATAAGGGAACGATGATCGTCCACGGGTCGTTTTCAAACTCTGTTGTCATCGGCTCCACAATTTCAGTATCGCCATCCGCACCACACAATCCGTATGCACAAGGGTGAATGGGATACGAATAATCATGTCAATGGGTCATGACTCATGTCGCACCCCCTACACAAGACATGAAATGCAAACACAAACAAAAATGAAATGTCGAAAAAGTAGAAAAACCTACTTCACGATTAGCTTAACTTCAAAAATTGCTAACCCTCACCCAACCATCTTAAAAAAGTTAACCCTAGACGGTGAATTCCTGTCTGAATAGTCATTTTCATAAATTTTATTTCCTCACTCTATTGGGCAGACGTGCACTCGTCGCTTTTGTCTCCTGCATCGACATTCCCTTCAGCAGATGGACTCAGATCTCGAAGTGCAGCTTCAGCATTCAATCGAACATTGGAAGGAATGACAAGTCCAGTCATAAACGGTTTTGTACCTCTACCCGTTCTCTCCCAACCAAAAGTGATCGAGTCAGCATGCTGCCATTGTTTTTGGTCAATCATTTTTCACCTTTTCTCCCATGCGGTATCATATAGTTGTGGAAGCGACTTTGCTCTCCTAGTCGGCACCCAGTATTCCACTAGCACTTGATTATAATTCTGCGAATCTTTTTCAACAACCACCCAAGAAAGCGCTTTGCCCACCCAGATAGGCACGCCGCTGGACAGATCATCGTCTGAGGGGCGAAGGATAAGAAAAGTGTTCATGTCAACATGCACGAGGGGATCGAAGCTGGTCATCGTGCGATCTTTTTTTCGTCCAACAAATAGGGGTTCCCTGTCATTGATGTTGGAACTACCAGAAGAAGGTTGTTGATCGCTTCCGAGCGTTCGTGGTATTGGCCAAAAACTTTCAAGAGGTTGTGAGGACAACGATGATCTGGTCGCCATGTTTGATAACCTTCTCCCAGTAACACAAAACTCTTTCTTTCCTACTCATCTCATAAGTGTTGTAAGTGCACCACGTTGACCGCCTGCTCTCCAGCAACTCGCGAGATCGAATAACCCAATTGTTGTGGCTACAATAGTCATTTCGAGGAAGGGGTTGCACAGGAGGCGGGTCAAATGGCCACGATAGACCTGCATAACTTTCATCGGGGTTTTGATTGAACCAATAAATCGGACCTTCCTCGTGCAACAAGTTGTTGTCATCGCAAAACTCCTTGTACAACGTTCCTGGATTATCTCCAACCGTAAAAAAATTAAGCAAGGGTGGTTTCGAAATACCAGTAATGTCGGACGCAATGCACGGGTTTATTATACTTATCCAATCTGCCATCGTATCGAAGAAAATACATTTGGGAGACTTTTTGTGTGACTGGTCTATAAGCTCGTAGGACTCGTCCATAGTATAAGCATCTATGTCTTTTAATTTCTTTGAGAAAACGTTGAAAGTAGCGTCAACGTCTGTATAGGTATGTCCCACCAGCATGAAACATATTTCTACCTCTTGGAAAACTTTGAACTTAACCAAGAGTGCAGCTAGCGGCACCTAGCGCACATATGTACTTGTTCTTGTTTTCCCGCCGACAATTATCTGCTTGAATGCGCAAAAACGGTGGCAGTGGCATCCTGCTCCCTTGAATTTCGACATGGGTTCTCATAAGATAAGTAGCGACTGTATTCGAATCGTGTTTGAAAGACGGAAACCATGTATACACATAAGTACTAGATTCTCTATCATGTGCAATGACACCTGTCAGATTCGTCTTCATCATCATCTCGTGCGTAATGCTTTCAAGTAGTTCACTTGGCCAATGTGGGGGATAGTGGTCTTTTTCTGATCCATGGCGTCAATCATGAGACACAAACGCTCGTTCGAGCGGACCATGGAATCAGTCTTTGCTCGACTGTGGTCCAGTCTGAGTTCAACTTGTCGCCTTTGGTGAGCTTTGATCTCGAATAAGAGCAGTGTAGTGTATACGTTCTTTCAGTTCATGATAGACGACACACTTTGTGAATGTGTTTGAGTGTACGAGTAAAAAGTGATAAAAGTGTTTCTGCCATAATTTATAAAAGCTGAACTCAGACACGACTTTGAGGCCGACAACCACGAAGTCTGATTTGATGGACTCATAAATTAAACGCTTCGTAAAAGCAGCTGGCACTCAAAGTTTCGGTCTGTAAATGTCGTCTTGATGAGCCACTTCATTCGACATGCTATCTGCATGACAGCCTATGAATGTTCTCATGCTGGCAAGCATGACGACGGTCTTATCTTTTGGTTTTTGTCTACCTGTCAATCCGTGCTCGCAACGCACAAAATTATTGTCCAATCACTTTTTGTAGCTATAAAACGTATTGCGAGAGACATCGAGAACATTGCAGTACGCCTTGACGCATTTGTGACGTTCTAACTCTACAAGACGGACACGTTTTTGTCTACCTTCATTCAACATTAAATCTTTAAGGCTTTTCATCTAGCACTCCGCTCGCTCTTCGGGACTCTTACTGTAAAATCCTTGTCTAACCTTTCGGAGTCCCTCTGGCGACACGTTGTAACAACAACGAGCCTTGCAACATGCCATGCCACATATCATTAGTAATTTCTTTTCGGATAGCATGTCTTTCGCTCTTTCGTACTGCTCTACCTTCCTAGCATTCCTATTCGCAATGAAATATGGTATTCTCTCCCCTAGCAGAGGTGCAGGCAAAATATGCAGTATTGCCATTTGTTCTTTATCGGTCCTGCCAGACGCTTCCGACCAAGACTGGCTCTCAACAGGAATGGCATCAC